CAGGAGTTAGAAGGGAGGGTGGGATGAACAGGCAGAATACGGAGTATTTTTAAGGAAACTATTATGTATGATACTGTAATGGTAGACATACCATTACACATTTGTACAAACCCATAGAATAAACCACCAAGTCACAACCCTAAGGCAAACAATGGAATTTCGGTGATAATGATGTGTCAATGTGGGTTCATCAACTGTAACAAGTATACGTCTCAGGTGGGGGATGCTCTGGTGGAGGGAGCTTGTGCATGAATGGCGATAGAGGGATAAAAGAAATCTCTGTACCTTCCACTCAATTTTGATGAAGTTAAAACTGCTCTAAAAAATAAAATACATAAAAAATGAAATAAAACATTAAAATCTGTGGGTCAGAGTTAAGGCAGTGCTGAGAGGCAAATGCATAATTAATGCAAATTTAAAATTAATGTCATTTTATGTAATGTAAAATTAACATATTAGAAAAGAAGAAAAATGTCAATAATCTAAGCTCCCAACTAGGAATCTACGAAAAGAAGAGCAAAATAAACCCAAAGCAAGCAAAATAATAAGGAAGGAAATAATAAGGAGCAGAAATAAGTGACATTGAAAGCATAAAAGCACTAGAGAAAGCCAATGAAAAGGAAGAGCTGGTTCTTTGAAAAGTTCAATAAAATTGACAAACCTGAAGCATGACTGAGAAGGCAAAACAGAAATGACACAAATTACCTGTATCAGGAATAAAATGAAATATAAGTACAGAATTTTCTTTTTCTTTTTTAAAGATTTTATTGGGGAATTGGGGGAGGGGAATAGTGCTGGGGAATTGGGGAAGGGGGCCAGCCAAGTTGTTGTTCTTCAATCTTCGTTGTGGAGGGCGCCAGTTGCCATCTGGTTGCCCGTCGGCAGCTCGTGGCCTCTACGCTCAAGGTGCTTTGTTACAATCTTAGTTGCAGGTGGGCGTAGCTACCATCCCATGCGGGAGTCGAAACAGCAGCCTTGTTGTTAAGAACACACGCTCTATCCACTGAGCCATCCGGGCAGTAGCTCAGCTTAAGGTGCTAAGTTCAGTCTTAGTTGCGGGTGGGCATAGCCTACCATTGAACAGGCAATCTTGTTGTTACACCAGCTGAGCCATCCTGCCACCTGTTGGCAGCGCAGCGACAGCTCAGCTCGGGCGCAGTGTCACTGGCCCATGTGGGAATCGAACCGGCAGCCCTGTTGCTCAGAGCTCACGCTCTTAAGCCAACTCCTAACCAACTGAGCCACCCAGCCGGCCCCAGAACTTTCATATGTCAACAGGATCAAGGAATACTATGAATCACTCTGACACACTTAAATTTGACAATTTAGATAAAATGGACCTTGGAAAACAAAAGCTATCACATTTCACCCAACATAAAACAGATCTGAATAGGCGCGCACACTCTCGCATGCTCACTCGCTCTGTCTCTCTCTTTCTCTCTCTCTCTCTCTCTCTCTCTCTCTCTCTCTCTCTCTCTTACACAAAACTATTAAGAAAATCAAATTCAAATGTAAAAATTCTCCAAACAGCAATCTCCATAACCATACCCAAATGTTTTGATTGCAAAATCCTACTGAATATTTTAAAAAAGAGTTAAAATCAATTCTGTATAATCTTTTCCAGAAAAACAAGGAGAGCAAACACTTCCCCATTCATTACCTGAAGCTAGTATCACCCTGATACTAAAGCCAAAAAAAAAGTACCAAAAAATTATACTACAGATTAGTGTCTCTTATGAAGACAGAGAGACATAAAAAGCCCTAACAAAATATTACCAAATATTTCAGCAATATATAAAAATAATTATATGCCATGACCAAGTGGGGTTTATTCCAGGGAAATAAGTCTATTTCAAGATTAAAAATGAATCAATGCAACCCTTCATATATTAACAGGATACAAAAGAAAAACCTCATAACCACACCAATTGGTACAGAAAAAGCATTAGAAACAATTCCATACCTATTGTGATAACAACTTTCAGAAAAAAAAAACAGGAATAAGAGAAAGACTTCTTCAACTTCATAAAGGTCATGTGTAAAAACTTACAGGTAACATTAGACTTCATGGTTAAAGACTGAATGCTTTCTGCCTAAGACTAAGAACAAGGCACAGATATCCACATTCGCCAGTCTTAATAAACAGTGCTGAAAACTCTAGCCAGTGCAATAAAGTAAAAAGGGGAAACAAAAACATACAGATTACCAGGAAAGAAAGAAAACTGTCCCCTTTTCCATATGACACGGCTATATATGTAAAAAATTCCAACAAATCTACAAAACAAACAAAAAACCCTCCTAGAACTAATAAGATCTCAGTAAGGGTGCAGGATAAAAAGATAAACATACAAAAAACAATTGTATTTCTATATATTAGCAATGACCATGTGGACATCAATATTGAAAATACAATCCCCTTTACCATCATTCAAAAATCATAAAATACTTAGATGTGTATCTAGCAAAACACATACAAGACTTGTATACTGAAAACTACATAATGCTAATGAAAGAAACCAAAGAAAATCTAAATAAATGGGAGGGCGACATACCATCCATATTGAGGAATTAGAAGACTCAACAGTAAAGAGGTCAATTCTTCTCCAATTTAATTACATTTAATGCCATTCTTATCAAAATCTCAATGAGACTTTGTAGACATAGAAAAGATTATTGTTAAGTATATATTAAAATGCAAAGTAATTCACTAAACCAATTTCGAAAAAGAATGAAGGGGGAGGAATCAGTCAACCTAATCTAAGATGTATTATATAAGTACAATAATCAAGACTATATGGTGTTGGCAGAGGGACAAACACATATCAATGGCAGAGAGCAAAGAACACAGGAATCGACCCACAGAAATATGTCCAACTTATTTTCACAAAAGCACAAAACAATTGAACATCCATAGGTGAAAAACAAAAATCTTGACCCAAGTCTCACGTCTCACATTGTATACAAAAATTAACTCAAAATGAAATAGATCACAGATTTACATGTAGAACACAGAACTCTAAAAATTTTTAGAAAAAAAAAACATACCGAAAATCTTTATTATCTAGGGCTACTCAAAGAATTCTTAGACTTGGCACCAAAAGCATGATCCATAAGAGGAAAAATAGATAAACTTAATTAAAACTTTATAATGAAAACCAAGCATATCTAAATTTATGGGATACAGATATAGCAGTGCTTACAGCAGAATTTATAGGATTAAATGCTTCTCTGGAAAGAAAATTTTAAATCAAGGGGGTAATCATCTACCTTGAAAAACTAGCAAGAAATGATCAAAGTACCCCCAGAAAGAAAATAATAAACATGAGGGAAGAAATCAATGTTATAAAAAATAGAAAAACAACAGAGAAAGATCAATGAAACCAAAACAGGGTGTTTTGTAGATAATTCAATAAAGTGAATAAAATTTTATCTACACTAATAAAGAAAAATAATGAAAATACACAAATTACCAATATTACAAATGAAAAACAAGCATTGTTAAGACAAAAGAATATTAGAATATTATGAACAATTTTATGTCAATAAATTCAACTTTTAGATAACATTCTTTAAACAATACAAATGACAAAAGAGAAATAGAAAATCTGAATGGTCCTATATTTAATAAAGGGATGGAATTTGTAAATAAAGTCCTTCCCACAAAGAAAACTCCCAGTAGACCCTGGGAGCTTCATTAGTGAATTCTTGCAAACATTTAAGAATAAATAATAATGTCACAGATTCAAGGTCAACATAGAAAAATTAACAGTATTTCTATATGTTAACAATCAGAAATCAAAAAAATTTTTAAATATCATTTATAGTAACTCCTTTCAAAACTCAAAATGATTAGGTATAAATTTTATAAAATATATGCAGTATCTTTATGATTGTCTATAGCCAATAAAATCTATTTAAAAACTTACTAGAATAAGTGAGTTTAGCATGGTTACAAGATACAAGCTCAATAAACAAAAAAATCAACTGTATGAATTAAAGAAAAAATATATATATATACATACAAAAAATTTTAAATATAATGTTTAGAAAAACTTGTAAAGTGATATATTCAGTGAGAGCATTTATATGGACTTACAAGAGCACATAAAACAATCCTTGAACAAAAGGACTAGATGGATACAAATGAAATTAATGATAATAATACTGGTGGGAATGAGAAAAGGAGCAAACTGGACAGGGAAGCAGAACAAAGATGACTTTAACTGAATCTACGATGCTTTAATTATTTTAAATATCTCAAGCAAAAATGTCAAAAGAGTAGCATTTATTCATTCTAAGTGGTTGGTCACACATTATGTGCCTGTTATTCTTTAAGTTTCTGTGATTTTACACATTTCAAAATCAAAGTATTTTTTTTAAGTAATACAATATGAAGAAAGGACTAAAAACAGTAATTTTAACTAATCTGCTGGATTCTGAGATAACTCAAAAATAGTGCCTACCATGATGTGAAATTAGCATTTATCTTAAGAGTTCACAAATTGAATTTACTAATTTTTTTGTTGTTTTCTTTTTTTCAATTTCTAGAATTTGCAGACTACCATAAAATACCCTTTTTTTAGGCTAAGGAATGGAACATATTCACTGATTTCTGGCTATGTGACTAAATAAAGCTTGCTTTCTTAAAGTGACTGCAAGGTCACTGTTCGGCTCATCGACTGTCCCTTGTGCGATCAGTAATGCCTGCCCACAGGGTGTTCATTTAGAGCCCTCCTCGGCTCTTCTCATCTGGCTTGTCTATTACACTGGTCATTACTGCCACACTAAGTTCTATTTTTTGAGTTCACGTGAGCCAAGTTTCCAAGGTCTTTAAATTTAGGAGAACGTTTGATACTCTACTCATCTGTAAGGACACATACTAGTACAATCAATAAATCTTAAAGGTCCCCTCCATTTTATAACCTCATTGTTTTTACTTACAATTTTTATCTGATAAAAAAAGAATCACTCTACAAATATTTATCCAAAATTTTACTCACCTCTGGATAAAGATGGAAGCGTTTCACTGTATTTATTACAAGGGGATATTCAGTGAGCCTGTCATTCATAACCATCCACAGTCCTTCCAAAAATGAAGGTGCTTCCATAATGGTCTTGAAGTAGGAATAATAAAGTCCCTTTAAAAAGGCACAAATTGTCATGTAAGTGAAATTTGCAAATATTTCTTTTTATAACTCCTGTTACAATAATTTCTTCTGAGAAAAAAGAAAAGATGAATCATAAGACTTCCTAAGTTCTTCTTGCTACTACTGCATTCCTGGACTCCAAAGGCATGCATTTCAGGCTATCACTATTCATTCATATTTTCTGTAGGTTTGAAGAAGAGTTGTAGGGGTAGTTAAATGTTTCAAGGAGCTTTTCTAACCACATCTTAAAATATATATACAATATATTTTTAATTCTACCAAGCTTAATTTTACCCCCACTCTGGATGAATTCTGGCATTCACAGAGATGCCTTCATGTCTTTGTACAACTCTATATATAGAAAATTACTTCTCTCAAGAGTCTGAGCTCTGAGCAACTGCGGTTCGATTCCCGGCCCGAGCTGAGCAGCCGCTGAGCTGCCAACAGGTGGCAGGATGGCTCAGCTTAAAAAAAAAAAAAAGAAAATTACTTCTTTTTTCCAGCTCCTTAGAAAATAACATATAATAATCACAATCATCACAGGATGGAACTTCATGCTTTCACCTTACTTCCTCGCTCCATCCTACAGTTCTGCATAAAGTCAACGCTCACCGAGTGGCAACTTACTACTGTTGATCATGACACAAGCGCTGTGTCCTGCAAAAGGAACTATTGTAGCTTGGTGGATTACTCCAGCATAGGAAATAATGACTTTACTAGGCTAGTAAAAGTTCTATCAGTTAAAATTCAAAGATTAACAAAAGCATCTTGTTTCCTAGCACTTCCCTCATCAATTTCTCGTTTTCCTTTCTAAAATATAAAAACAAATAAAGGGCTACATACATTGTTTGTAATACATTCTCCCCAAAATACATTAAAAATAATCTCCAGCTCTACATTCACCCCTGCCTCCTATAACAGCTTTATCTTTTGCTAGATGAAGCAATAGTGGCGACTAAACTGAAGATGTGATTTAGCTGATTGGTAAAATACGAATTCACACAAAGATGTTTCCTTTCTATGAGGGCAACGAGGCGATGCTACAATGACAGGGCATCTAATATGCATAAGTCAATATTTAGAGAAATAGAAAATGTACACATAAGCTTTCATTAATTGCAGCTATGGTTTCTGTGCCAGGCGTTATGCTGTGTGCATCATTTATTATCTTCCTGCATTGTCAGTGAAACCCTGTGAGGCTTGGCGTTATTTCTATTTAGCAGATGAGATTACTGACAATCAGAGGTTAGCTGGCCAGCCGTCACACGAAGGAGCACAGGCTGCCATCTGAGTCCAGTGACCCGTCATCACAGCCCAATCTCTGCCACAGCTACACTCTTTATTTAACAATATTTTAGATCCTCTCTTTGGAAATAGTACGTATTATTTTATTAAATATTAATTTATTAAAAATTAATTCAAATATTAAAAATTTGAATGCCATACAAATGCTAACTAACATACCCAATTCTTCAAAGCTTTAAGGGAGCTGTAAGGGTGACATTTAAACAAAACAAAACAAAACAAAACAAAAAACCAGTGGCTGAGAATAGGCAAATTTATAGACAGAAAGTAGAATACAGGTTACCAAGGGCTGGGGAGGGAAAGAAAGAAGTTTCATTTGAAGGGTACAGTTTCTGTTTGGGATGATAGAAAAGTTCTGGAGATGGGTGGTGGGGATGGCTGCACAATAACATGACTGCATTTGATGCCACAGAACTAACCGTCCACTTAAAAACAGTCAAAACAGTAAATTTTTCAATTTAAAATTTTTTTAATATAAATTTCATTTTTAAAATTTAATTTAGCCACAACTGAAAACAAAACAGAAAGGCGGTGGCTAAAGAGTCATGAGACCCAGTTTCAGTTCTTCAGTTGACCCCTAACTGATGGATCTGGAGAGTGGTTTTGGTTTCGCTTAATTACAAAATTCTGCAATTCTGGCTTTTGTTCTCCCATTTAATCCTCACAGTAACTATGTTAAATATGTATGGCAGATGGCATTATCTCCATTTTATAGATTAGTTTAGCAAAACAATAGAAAATGTATTAAGAAGTTACATCAAAAGTTGCCTCTTAAATGAGATCAACTTGAAGTCAAATGAGCTATAAAAAAAAAAGAAAATGAAAACAGTCAGGTAAAATATGGAGTCTTCCAACTCTAACCTAACAGAAAGCAATTTCTGATAACATTTGATACCCCTATATCACTTCTTAAATGTTCTGGGCTCTCCTCTTCCTAAGCTATTCTAATTGATCGTTATTATCTTTAAAAGAAGTCTGTATTAGGAAAAGAGGAGAGATAATAAGTAAAAGAAAAGAATCCTAAAACACTTTCTATTTGAATAATAAACCTAGGTTATAGCTTGAGAAACAGTGCAGTTCACCAAAAATTCACGTCAGTTCCTGATAAATTTCCACCTTATAGCCTTACTATTATTAAACTACAAATGAATTCATTAAACAAAAAAAGAGCCTAACCATTTCGGTGCGAAAAGTCATCTCCCGTTCCAAAGATGAGAGGTGAGAAAAATGACGATCATTTTCAAAAAGTGTTACTAAATGTATCCTAGAGCAAAAAAAATGAAGCATCATATTATAAGAATAAGACCATGTTTCAAAACTTAGTACTAAAATAACAAAGCTATAAACAAAGTATGAAAATCATAAAGAGGAAAAAATACATTTTTGTAACACTGAGATAACTTTATAATTTGCTTACTACCTTGTATATATTTTAGGCATTTATAATCTAGTGTTGCACACAGCTGAAACTCCTTAACTTCAGGCCTCTAAGTCAGAACAGAGGTAAGTTTTGGTTGGGTTGTTAAGTTTCACAAGTGACTCTAAAGTACTAAGTTTAGGAAACGCCTCTGTAGCTATTGAAAAGCACTTGGAACAGAATTTTAAATAAAACTACTTTATATTAAAGCAATTTTTAAATAACAATAATTTCTTGTAAGGGATCAGCTGTCAAGTGCCAAAGAACATAGGACTGTACTTGAAGATATTTTATTAGTACAACTGAGGAAAACAGTGAAAACAGGAGCACACGGTGATAAGCAAAATTAGTTAGTGAGCAGTTACGCTTTTCTTAATTCATATAATAGATGTTTTCCAATGAAATAGAAAATAAAGCAAAATTCCATCTATCAACCCTGTCCTCCACTCACTTTCATTTATGTGCAGGACATATGCCAGGGTACCAATAGCTGTAGGGAATATTTCTTACCATCAGAGCCTTCGTTCTAACATCAAAATCTCCCTGCAGACTAAATGGCCACAAAAACACTGTCCCAACAGGACGTGGGGCAGAATAGAAATCTCTGAGCTCAGGTAGAAAGGAAGCTATGTAAGAGGAGAAATAATATTATCATAGATACAGTTTTACAGGTCAATTACTTGGGCAAAATCTGGCACATGTGCATTAAAGACTCACCTAACCCTGCACTATGACTGCAGTCTTTACCTTCATTTCTACCTGATTTCCAAGGGACAAGAGTTACTAAAGCTTTACCTCGCCTCTGCCACTAACAAACCATTACTGTAAAACAAAGGAGTTTTTAGATGAAATAAACATGCAAAGTACACTACAAAAGCTAGATATTTAAGAAACATAGTGGTGAATCCTTTGGTGGAGCAAAAATATTTTAACGCGTAAGTTACCATTCTCCTGATGCACCCACTTTGCAAATGCTGCTTCACGTAGGAGGTTTTTGTGTTTTTTTTAAAGATTTTTTTTTTAATTGGGGAATTGGGGGGATGGGAACAGCGCTGGGGAATTGGGGGAAGGGGAACAGACAAGTTGCTGTCGTTTTGTTCTTCAGTCTAGTTGTGGAGGACGTCGCCTCACTGGCCCAAGTTGGCACCATCACTGCGCTCTTCCCGGGCGAGGCAGATCAGTCGCCGGCTTCTGGACGGCCGCTCACTGCGGCTGCTGGCCGCTCACGCTGGCTGCTGGCCACAGACGGTAGCCCATGGCAACCCACTGCCACAGGGGCTGCAGCCTACGCCGTCGCCGGCGACCCACGGCAGCCCAGCTCCAGGTTGAGCTGTTGTTCAGCATCTTAGCTGTAGAGGGCAGTGTCACTGGCCCTCATATGTGGGATCCGAACCGGAGCCCTCTGGCGTCCCAAGCCAGTTCTTAACCATCGCACCACTCGGCCGGCCCCGTAGGGGGTTTTTTAAAAAGCAATCTGGATGTGTAAACTGATACAGATGCACATACAGATGTTCTATACACATAACAAGCAGTTACCATTTTATGGTATGCGATCAGTGATGGCAAGTTTTAATTCAAATATTTTATGTATTTCAAACGGAAACTAATCTTACCAGTGCAAAAGTCCCAAAAAGGCAGCTGGAAAAAGAAGGAAAAAAAAAAAAAGAAGTCATTAAAAGCTGCTTTATTGCAGTGATTATAATATACCTTTAAAACAACTATTTCAAATGCATTCCCTTATATGTCGAGCAAGCGCACACAAGCAAGACGGCCAGCTACTTCTCTCTCCATGAGCACAGGGAAAATTCCACAAGGACATAAACTGGGAACAGGGCTGACCTCTGCAGGGGGGATTTGGGGGGTAAAGGAAGACGTGGAAGACTTTGTCTCATTTACGAAATTTGCAAACAAGTGACGAAATGACTGATGATTTGGACCTTTTCTGTGATTTGTCAGAAATTATTCTCTCTTATTATTGATTGTTCTCTATTTATGTGAAATTTTAAAAAGAAGCACATACACACACTACGATCAGCTCAATCCTTCCAGGACAGGAGCCCACAGGGATCTCTCTAGATCACTTTCCCTCATGCCCATGAGAATATGGTTTAACGCAGGAAATCGCTTCCTCAGCAGCAATCTGAACGCCCCTTTGGGCGATTCAAACCTTTATGGAACCTGGACTGCTCCCAGGCTACCGGCCTGGGAGACTCATCCGGAGTCCCCATGTCACCGTCCTAGGAATGAGGCTTTACCAGGGAGCTGCAACACAGGTCAGTGACACTGCTGTGGGGATGGGCTTTTGGAGGAGCTACAAACACTGTCTGTCCCCTTCTGGTGGCTGGGACTCTGCTTGTTTTCAAAGATACAGCGGAGCTGGGGGAGGAGATGGGAGGAGGCCAAGTTAAAAAAACAACAACAAAAAAACCCCCCACAAACCCCCCTGTTCTTATACAGTTTCAGTAGTTTTTCTTGACTAAATGCTCTTTAGATTGATGTAAACCTTTGGTTAATTTCCAAGGACTTGAAAAAGTTGATTCTGATCATTTTCCAGGTATTTCTGTTGCTGTCACAGAGGCGTGAATTTACTTAGCTATTCCCAATGTCCTGCCCACCCCTCCAAGATTTTACAATAGCATTTCTTATGGCTGTCACAAATACACTTGGCAAGTCATTTTCTACACCACCATTAACCTCTTAAAAACTCAAAAAGTTACTCAACTTGGCTAACAAAATAAGTGCAAATTAATTAATAAGTCAATTAATAAGAATACTAGCAAAACACTGCAATGTTGGAGACTCCAAGCCATCCTTCACCAGGCTTTTTTCCATATTCCTAACCATTCTGAGTTCATTCGTACCACTCTTCAGTACTTTTCGGATTTACTTGTTTTATACCATGATCAGCAAACCACAGCCCACTATCTGTTTTTGTACTGTCCGCTAGCTAAAAAAGGTGGTGACATTTTTAAAGGTTGTATAAATAAGAAACAGCAGCAATGGAGATTGCATATGGCCTGTGAAGCCCAAAGTATTTACTACCTTTCTCTTTACAGAAAAAAAAAAATATATATATATATATATATTTTATGTTAACTACATGTTAACGCTGTCTAATATATAATATACTCTGAACTACTGTGATATTAAACCAAGACATTCTCTCTCCACTTGAAATTGATGACCTTCTGATAAGACTTTATTAAATTTAAGATACACACAGACTGTCCTATTCAACTACATTTGTATCCTCTTCCTTACTCTCCAGACAATTATAATATATTGGCAAAAACTCTTAGAAGTGATATTTAAGGAAAAGGAAAAGATCAAATATCCTACTCAATCCATCTAGCTTTCCAAAAATCCTCAAAATAATCTCGTCTCTCACTCCCTCCCCTTACCCCACATTCCACAATAAGGTGCGATAATGCCAATATCCTAAATGCAGGAGGTGCTTATCACACCCCCTTCCAAAGTCCTGATAAAAAGCATGTCTCCTGGACCCCTGTATCCTGTTCCTCAACCTCATCTCTGAAAGTGACCAAGCCTTGCATTTTACTGAAACAAAGATGATTTGACACAAGCATTCCAAACTTCCCTTATAGCTACTTCAATGTTTCTCCATACAATAATCCTTGCTTTTCTCCTCCCTGCCATCTCAAACAGGAACTCTCTCTCGTCTTTTCCAGTTAGCTTCTCAGATTTGTGTCTTTAATTCCACCCTTCCCAAATATTTCAACACTTTACTCCATCAACTATTCTCTCTCTCCCTCTCCCTCTCCCTCTCTCTCTCCCTCCCTCAATCTTACCCTCTCCCACTGACCCTTCCCCTCAGCCTTGACTTCTTCAATACCCTAAAACACTTCCCTTGATCTCACAGCCCTTCAAACCACGAAATATTCTCTCCAGCCCCCACCCATTTGCTGACAAGATTCTCAGCCAACTTCTTTCTCCTAAGTTCCCGTGACTCTTTTCTATGACCAACGGACCTTTGAGTTATCAACATCAATGACCTCTTTCTCCACGCTCTGTGTAGCATTTGACCAGGCTCTTGGATTTCATCCTGTTATCTTCATCACACCAACTCTCCCAGTTCTATGTTTTTCTGCCCAGTTTCTATATGCTTACCTGGCTATTCCTTTTCCTCTCCTCTCTTGACACTAAAGCTTTCCCAAGTATCTTTGCCCACTTTTCTCTCTTGGCAATCTCTCCCAATGCTAGTTTCAACTCACTTTTATGTGGGTAATTCCTGAATCTATGACTCTCACTCCTGAATTTTCTGTCATTCCTCCCTCCCTCTCACCACTCTCTCTTCTTCCACCTCACCACCTACCAGGCCGTATGTTTCCACCAACTCGAACCTCTCCTCTCTTCCCTATTCCTGTGTTGTCAAGCTTGTTAAGACCTTGTTAAGACCTGGATTGATGAAAGTAAGTAGGTACTAACATGAGGCAATCGGTTGTCTAATTTGACCCTATTTCCAACTATTAAAGAGTCTAATTTTAAAAATCAACACTTTATTTTTGCCTCATTTAAGGTGCAGGAAAATAGAATGTCTGCCACTCAAGAGCTCACCTATCATTTTTACAACCCGTGATAAAGGGATGCCCTGATTAAGACGACATTTTGGTGGTGACATACAGGTGATCGCTATGCCCCAAAACCCTGGGAAATGTTTTAAAACAAGAACTTAGGGGGCTGGGAATTCCTGTCAGCGATTTTCCAGAGCTTGGACCTTGTCATTACTGCTGCTTGGTTTGCTTGTTAAACTCATCTTCAAGACGCACCCAAACCACTTCAAACCCCAGGCTCGGAGGGCCGCGGGAACTCGTGCCGAGGGCTCTCTCCGGCCTGTCCTGCTCACCTACGCAGATGGTTGCCCTGCCTGAGAACTGACGTCTCCGTAGTAGGTGCACCTGGTCGAGGAGCTGCTCCAGGTAACAGCGGAGGAATTGGAAGCGGCGGAGAAAAAGGGTTTTTGTGACCATCTCCATTTGCATGCAATTCTGCGCCTTCAAGTTTCGGGTCCTCCGCGGCGAGTAGCGTCGGGCGCCCCCGGGCAGGTTCCCGCCGCCTACGGGCAAAGGCTGCTCGGACTTTTCCACTTCCTCCTGCGGCTCCTCCTCCACCTCCGGCTCCCCGGCTCCAGTGACGCGGCGCCGCCGCCTAGACTGCGGGGAGCGCGGAGAGCGCAGCGGCTGTGAAGCCGCTTCTCGGAGCTTATTCCTCGTCGGCCCGACCATTTTCTCATAGTCCCTGTTCGGATGGAGCTGGCTCTCCCTCCGGCGTGGGCCCGGCCGAGCTGGGTGAGGTCCGCAGGGGCTCGCAGCCTCAACGACTCGTCCCCGCCGCCGTTGCCCCGGGTCGTCAAGGCGACCACGAAACCTGGAGGGGGGGGGGCGCGAAGTGCGCAGCGCCACGTGCTCAGCTTCCTACGCGCATCCTATCCGCCCGCGTGCAGCCCCTGCGCGCCGCCCCACGCGCGTCCTCCCGCGCGCAGGCCCTGCGCGCCGCCCCACGCGCGTCCTCCCGCGCGCGTCCCCCTTGCACAGCCCCTGAGCGCCGCCCCACACGCGTCCCACGCGCGCAGCCCCTGCGCACCGCCCCACGCGCGTCCCCCCTTGCACAGCTCCGCGCCGCCCCCCGCGCGTCCCCCGTGCGCAGCCCCTGCGCGCCGCCCCCCGCGTGTCCTCCCGCGCGCAGCCCCTGAGAACGCCCCACGCGCGTCCCCCCTTGCACAGCCCCTGCGCGCCGCCCCACGCGCGTCCTCCCGCGCGCAGCCCCTGAGCAACGCCCCACGCGCGTCCCCCCTTGCACAGCCCCTGCGCGCCGCCCCACGCGCGTCCCCCGCGCGCAGCCCCTGAGCAACGCCCCACGCGCGTCCTCCCAAATGGGTGGCTGGTCTCACCGAGTTACACCGCTGCTGGTGGCCAAGACTGGAGAGCTACGTGAGATTTAAATCCTTCCTTCGAGTTCGGGCTTAGCTTTGTTATTTTTACCAAAAGGTTGCCTGTCTCCAGGTTATTAAAGGGGAAGGCGATCTTGGGTGAAAGAAAGAACTATAGAAAGGAGAGCGAGGGAAGGACGTGAGCGCCTGTGGTGTGCATGGGACTTGAGGAACCACTTTCTTCGCCTCCTACGAACAGAACACGTTGCACTGGGCCTCAGTGTCCACCTTCTACGCGGAGGAAATCGTCCGAGGCCACGGGCAACACGTGGCAGAACTGGCATGAACCTGACCCCAGGACACTGTGTGTCCAACAAGGTTGCTCAGAATTCCTCAGCCCTAGAAGCGTTGTGTCCAGAGCTCTTGCCTTCCTAAACCAGACACCACCCAGGACCATCCGAGAGGGGAGCGCTTAGCCCCAGTCACTTACACACTTGATGCCACAGCGGCTGGCAGAGATGGACAGGGGGCACTGACGTTTCCCGTGTCCTTTGTCACAGGCCAGACAGACCGCTTGCAGCCGACGCCACTTCACCTCCTATCTGTTTAATGATGGTTCCGATAGAAGTTCCTAATGCCCTTCTCCTAATCTATGGCTCCTTTTGGTCAGCTTAATTTTCCTGATGCAACAGCTCTCAGAAATGTTCATGGCTCCCTTAGCCCACAAATAAAACGTGAACTCCTTGGCTCGCTCGTCAGTGTCTTCAATAATCTGCCCCAATCTGCTTTTTCATTCTGAGTGAGGCCCGCAGTATGCTACTCCATCAACTTTCCTTTTACTCAAACTAAAAAGACATCCCATAGTTTTTTCATCCGTTTCTTGCTGCCCCTCTAAATTCTGTCACCTCTCAAGGTCCAGCCCATTTCTTCAGCCCACATGAACCCCCCCTGCTCTGAAGGTTTAAAGCAATTACCCACAGTCCTATTCATCTTGTCACTTATTTCAATTCAATAAATGCTGTTATTAATTTGTTGTTTTGTAAGATATTTTTCAAGGGTCATTTCTACATTTCTGGCACAGGGTTTGTTGCTTAAAGTGTTTTGTCCTTTAAATCATATAATAATTTTGTACAAGTAAGGAAATCGAGGATCAAGGATGTTGTTATTCGCCCAAGTTTGAACAGCTAATAAATTGCCCAATACTGAGTTTAAAATACAAGATCTTTATGGGTGGTTGATAAAAATATATAATTGAATATGCAAACTCAAAATGAAATACCTTAGTTTTTCATATGAACATTTTAACATTGTTTTTGGGACAATAATGAAGCGCTGTGATTGTTTGCCTTTTTTATTAGAATTATATCAGATTCATAAAATGAATCCGGTGGGTTTTCGCCTTTCTGTATTAGAACATCTAGTTCTGGAGGGGGTTTTTTTGTTTAATTTTTAATTTTCTTCATTATTACTGGTCTACTTACATCGTCTACTTCTGTGATCACATTGGGAAATTTATATTTTCCCACAGACATCTCAAGCCAGTTGAATTATATGCCGTAATTTACCTGAAATTAATATGACCATCTGAGCTTTTTTTTTTAATTAGTGTTTGCCCAATGAATCTGTTCATCCTTCAACTCTGTGATTTTAATAGATTTGTTTGTTATGTGCTGTATTTTGTTGAATATTTTGAAAGATAACCTGAGAGTTCTTGTTAATAGATTATTCATTTAAGTGATTTTATAAGTTTTATGTCTTTGTGTTTCACAAGGGGTGGGTATTTCTGTGGGATGTAAGGAGTGGCTGCTAGAATGTTGGCCCAATGAAATTTTCAGTGACATTTTCTTGTGCAACTCTGAGTGAGCTGAACTTTCTGATTTTGGTTTTCCTTCAATCTGTGTTTCCTGTTTCTTATTTGGTCAATTCGTTTGTTTGTTTCCTGGAGTTTCCAATTGCCTTTTGGATCACTCAGTATCCTAGCAGAATTAAAGCATATTCTTACCCTTCATCTAGCCCTTGAAAGTACAAATCTGGTCATTTTTACCATTTAAAAAATAATTTATAAAAATGTTCATTGTACTATCAGTTAAAATTTCAAATAATATATTCTCTCAGTATCTTGTACTCTTTGAAATGAAGATGACTCATGATTTAGCAAATTATTTCTCTTAGAGATTTTGAATGCAGTCACCTATATATAAAACTCACCTCTGTTTTCTTTTTGTCTTTTAATAAAGCAATTGGTAATTTTTGCAAAAAATGCAATGAAACTATATAACCAGCAGATGGCAATAATGACTTGTGAATCAGAATATAAAATTGCAGGTAGTTTTAAAATTCATTTTTGAAAAGAAAAAAAATCACTGGTCTTGTAATAAATAAATCAGTTTACTAAATATGAAATTTAAGGAAATTCCAAATGTAACCCTGCATAAAAATAATTACATTGCATATTTCATATATCAAAATGATTAAGATATTCATTATAGCCAATGTTTGGTTTTCCATTTAATACAGTAATGACTTTTTTTAATTGATTCAGATAACTTTTTAATCCAATTTAAATATTTTAACTTTGCACAAATACACAGATATAATTTTAGTGGAGAGCTCTGTGATATCATCTATGGTTAGCTTGCTTATGTGGACTGGGAAAGACAGAGGTAGTTCAGTGAACATCATTTTAAAAATATAAAATTTCCCACCTATAATTTGATAATTTAAAATGCTAATTTCACTTTAATTGATACTCTCCTGCATGAAAGAGGTTTTTATTTGTGCTGTTTCACAGTTTCTTACATATTAAAGTAATTTTTGCTTTGGTGTTGGAGTTGTCATCGAAGTGTTTATCTCTAATCTATCACCAATAGTTAATCCCAAAGATGGTAATACAATATTTAGACTTATAATTTTGTTAGCTATAATTGAATCACATATCCAAGATTCTTTTAGAGCAATTTTATTTAGTAATTGTAGTCATTTCAATTAAGAAGTTTTAAAAAAGCAAACAAATGGGATTCGTTTTTTATACTTTTGCAAGACTTCCTATAAATTCACAAAGATGAAAAAAATCTTTTTGCTTAATCACATATCTCTATTTTTGTCTCCAAAAAACAGGATAACCACAGGTATGTACTTCTTGATGGCTGTTTATTTTCCAGTTGGTCTGGTTTTATATCTTAAAAGATCCTTTCAAATCCTTCTTCATCAAGTTACCTCCACTAAAAGAAATGTCTTTGCACATGTATATTATATAAAACTACTGCTTTAGCAGAAGGGTGCTCAGTAATCATTGTTAAATGACTTAAGCAATACATACAAAACAACATGTGTGATATTATTCTATATAGTCTTAGAATACATCAAAGTGATTTATAGAATACATATGGGCAGATTAAGTGCAACACGTAACAAAACCAGCAGTGATGCGTAAGGCATCTGCGTGCTATGTTTTTTGTCACAGCCCGAACCTGACTTCCCCTGGGTCCCTGGCTGCTGTTCTGTTTCCTCCCTGGCCCCACTTGCTGTGAGTCTCTAAGTACAGTGGGCTTCATTTTACCTCTTTTCTAATTCCTGCTATCCTCTAACAGCCCCCGTGGCAACTAGAGTCTAAGGGGAGGGGAAGTTTTTCCTAAATAAGTAGAAAGTGTTTACATTCAGACCACCAGACTCTCTCTTGAGCAGCGGAGTCCTGCTTCCACACGGATATTGACCCATCCCCAAAAGATAAATGTGGAGCTTTACGATTGTTTTCTTGTCTACAGTCTGTTGAAACTCTTCTTGAGATACTTACCAGTGATAATTTATAATTCATTAGGTAAAAACTGGTTGAAATATGCAGTTTTTATGTTTCTTAATTAAGGCCATGTACCTGGGTTCAGAAAAGTCAAGATAGACTTTTGTGTTTTTAATTCTGAGAATTTAGAAATATTTGAGGGGTTAGTATGCGGTGTCATAGTTTGAGTACAGACAGGATTTGAATCCTGGCTTTCCCATTTACTGTAGGTCACTTACTCTCTCTAAGCCTCAGTTTTCTCCTTCTTCAAATGGGAATAATAATAGCTCTTACCTAGTCAAGTTGTTACAAAAATTAAGTAAAATAATATATATAAAGTACATTTTTATGAAAGGTAGCAATAATTATCATGTCTTTCTCATTCCCAGGGAAGTCCAAACGCTGGCTACAATTCTTCCGGGGGGGGGGGGGGGTGAGGAGGGAAGGGATAAAAATAAACTAATATAACTTGAAAGCCTAAGGCCACCCAATGCTATCAAATAGGTAGTATTATCTTCTTTTTGCAGATAAAAAAAATGAGGCAGGGAGAAGATTCTAGATTCCTCACTTTTAACTCACAAGTACACAAGATTTACTCTCCTTTCCCTGGAAGTCCTCAAAGTTGACAAGTTGGACCTTAAGAATGGAAATAAAAGACTTGCTGAATAGTTTTTTTTCTTTCACATTTTAAAACAACAGCTCCAGTGAGATATAATTCACATATCATAATATACATTCTTTTAAGTGTAGGATTCAGTGACTTTAGTATGTTCACAAAGTTACACAACCATCACCATTATCTACTTCCGCATTCCAATAGGTGTGTGGTGAGTGGTATCTCATAGGTGTTCTAATTTGCATTTCCCAAATCAATATGATGTTGAGCATCTTTTCATGTTTATTTGCCGCCTGTTTATCTTCTTTGGTGAGGTGTCCGTTCAGATGGATCTTTTGCTTCCTCGTCAGAGATCAGTTGGCTATATTCATGTGGGTTTATTTTCTGGGCTCTCTATTCTGTTTTGTTGATGTATTTGTTTATTCTTTCACCACTATCACACTATCTGCATTACTGTAGCTTTATAGTAAGTTTTGAAGCTGGGTACTGTCAATCTTCCAACTTTGTTCTTCTTGAGTGTTGTTGGCTCCGCCTTTCCACATAAACTTTAGAATCAGTTTGTTAATAGCCACAAAACTTGCTGGGATTTTGACTGGAATTGTGTTGAATCTCTAGGTTAAGTGGAGAAGAAGTGACATCTTAACAATGTTGAGTCTACTTATCCACAAAAATGGACTATCTCTCCATTTATTTAGATCTTCTTTATTTCATCAGAATTTTATAGTTTTCCTCATCTAGATCTTGTACGTATTTTATTATATTTATGCCTGAGTGTTTCTTTTCCTCTTTTCATGGTGGTGATATAAATGGTGTTGTATTTTTAATTTCAAATTCCAACTGTTTATTGCTGGTTTATAGGAAAGTAATTGACTTATTTGATACTAACCTTGCATCCTATAACTTTGCTATAATTGCTTATTAGTTCTATGAGATTTTTTATTGGTGGTGGTGGAAGCATGTTAATGTTCTATTTAAAAGAAAGAAAAAAAATAAGAATGAGAAGGAAAAAATAACTTTGAACCTGTAAGTGAGCTGAACAAATGAGCCCAGCTGTACTGCAAATGAAGAACATAACGACGCAGAAGAACAAAAAGGAGCTAACTGCAAAACATGTGCTTTGATGATATACCTTTAGTTGGGAGTGGGGGCCGGACAACTGCAAACAAATCCTGAACTCTTTGTAGAGGGTGTGTTTATTGTAGTTGTATGAGTGAAGCAATATGAATTAGTTGGGGTGTATAGTTGAAATGAGTAAATAATGTGATGTTGTTGGGAGCCAGGATTCTCGCCGAGGAAGAAGGCAGATACAGATATGGAATGGGACAAAGCAAGGAAAAAAGGACCCCAGGGGGCATTAGAACTGGAGCTATCAGCATATACTCATGGTTTCTAACACATTTTACACACACACACACACATTCAAATGTATACATATATGTATTCCTGTCTGCTAAAAGGACCTAGAAGCAAACATATCCCAATGAGTATATCTGGCACCCAGATCTTGGTTTCTAATAGTTTCCCAACTAAAAGGAATCTGGGCCCCTTGTAGAAATGGCTGGGTATCCAGGGCTTGGGTAGAAAAGATACAAGAGGAGCCTGGAACAACGTGTTACACCGGAAATTCAAGAGTGCTAAAAAATAAATTGGGGCACATCAAAAGGACACAGGAGCCAGCTTAAGGAGCTCCCAATGACCAAACCTGGGATGATTTGTGCATCAAGATAATGAAGGATAGTAATTATAAACCAATGAAAACTAGGAATTCTTTTGCCATGAAAGGCAAAGGGTGAGGAACTGTATCAAATTAAAGGAGACTGAAGCAACATTACAACTAAATGCAATATGTTATCCGGAACGAGATCTGTACTGAAGGAAAAAATAAGCTGCAAAGGACATCAGTTGAGTCATTTGACAAAATTGGAGTACAGATGGTAGATCACAGTATTGTACCATTGTTAGATTTCCTGAAGCTGCTAACTCTACCATGGATATTTCAGAGGGTCTTCTTAGTTCTAGGAAATATATTTTGAATCACTTAGGGGTAATAGGGCATGATATATGAAACTTACTCTCAAATGGTTCAGAAAAACATGTATAACGTGTGTGCGCACACACATGTGTGCATGCACTATTCAGTGTGAATGCAAATGATAAATCAAATGGGGCAAAAAGTTAACAATTGGTGAATCTGGATAAAGGGCATACAGGGTTTCCTTATACTATTCTTACAATTTTTCTGTAAGCTTAGAATCATTCCAAAGAAAAGATGTTTAAAAGGTTGGCAATTGCACGGAAAATTAAGGGTAATAAAGCAGACTTCTGAAAGCAAAAGGTATGATAACGTCAGATATTCCGAAGGACTGTCATGTGGAAGAAAGATTGAGACTTTGAATTTGGTTAATCTTATTTTGTGTCAGCCTGCTCTGTGTAATGTCATTGCAGCACATCCAACAGCTCAGGAGTGGAATGAGAGGTTGGAGCTCTATCAGCTTTGTGGAGACTTCAGTATCAGTCAGTCCAGAGAAGTACAAAGTCCCACCATGCTAAGGGTTCATCAGGTAAACGAGTGAAGGGCACCAGATAAATGGGAACGAGTAGAGACTTGAGAGCAATGTCTTCTCCACAGGCTTTCAAATGCAATTAAAGACGAAATCAAAACCCTGTGTAGTACTCCAGTGGGTTGTGTCTAGCCCAGGAGTGGCCAATTGTGACCCCTGACCTTACCTAATCCTCTTTTTCTTTTTTTCAGGTGAGGAAACAGGTACCAAAAGTCACGAAGCAAAATGTATCAGACAATGAAAGGTGTAAGTGTGTGTGTGTGTGTGTGTGTGTGTGTGTGTGTGTGTACATATATATGTATATATATATACATATATATCAAAACCACACCATTTTTAATAAAAGAAATTAATATCCACACATTTGTACTTCTGTACAATTTTGGGTAATATATAATTTTAAGCTGTTTACAAATAACATGTAATGCTTCAAATATTACATAATGTTGATAATACATTTCTAGCAGAAATAAATATATTGCACTTAAAAAGAACTTCGTTAGATGTTACTTCATAGTATTCGGCTTATAACTTCTTTTTTCATAAAACATTTCCCATGCCCTGCCCCCAGCCCCCAACACACACACTTCATTACAGTGACTGTTCTCACGCAATTCATTAAGCAAATGAACACAGCAAACAATAGAACTGTGATACAGTCTACTAAAGAGGCTAATTCAAATTTTTTTCCTCTAGGAAACCAAAGACCTTCTTTTAGGTTTCTGAAACTAAGACAAAAACAACAACTAAATGCAGTATTTTAATGTGCCAGAATACAATGTAATGTAAAATACAACAAATTGTATTTTTTGTCCAGATGTATTATTTCACCAAAGTGTTTCTATTTTCTGATTATCAGGGGACGGGGGTTAGACTTATTTAAGGGATGCACAGAGAAAGAAGGGCCAGACAATCCTTATGGACTATTTGCCTGTTGAACATTTATAAGTGAACCTTTGCATACTGAAGCATGCTGAGGAAAGAGAAGCGTTGGAATCATTTATAACTGGCTTGGAATGAATAGCAGTGAAGAAAGGATGTGTGGTTTTCTAAAGTTTTAAGAGACTGTAAACTTCTCCTTGCTTGTTTGCATAAAATCCTTGCATTCTGAAATAACATAAAAACGTATAAAACCCATCCTCCACCCAACTGTGGCTCTAAAGGGGCCAGCTGAAAATCTTTTCTGTTTGATCCTTTCCTTCTGTCTATGCAATCTAGATTTAGGGTATAGTTGTTGAACTTGTAATAATTATCAAGTCCATGCGTGTTTAATAATGAAAACAGTTTTGCTTACGTAGTCAGCTGACAGACTGAGTACAAATACTGTTTTTCTTACACTATGTGACCCTGCACATTACATAACTGAATTTTTGAACTTCATTTCCTGAGTCATGGCTAAGCTTGACTGCTTATTTAATGGGCTGGTAAAGTCGCTTTATCCACTTTATTTGAGGCTTAATTTTTCTCAAAATCATTCAGCTTAAATATAAGCAGGACAGCCTGAAATGCTACCGTGAAATTCAGAATTGGGATAAGTATCCCAACATCTCGCTGAAAAAGTCATAGACAGTAATGGGATGAAGTTGCTCTATGAGAATACTTATTTCTTGGGCTTTTAGAGGGTTTCCTTTTTCTTGTTTGGGTGGGTGGGATGTTGTGGCTGGAGAAAGGCAATGACAGAGATTTGGGTACACGTGGGGGAGGGGAAATCTTGGACTACCCCAGAGAGCAGTGTGACTTCTCTATACAGGGGTTGTGCTAGATGACGTCTCATCATCAGGAAGCTTCTGAATCAGTCCTACTCTGTGCCCACCTACTAGGAATGGTGGGAAACCTTCCAAACAGCATATCGTTGTTATAAACCCAAGGGGCCCAGCAAAGAAGACGGGTATGTTTATCTTTATCCTGCTAAGGTGCAAAGAGGGCGGCGGGAAATTCGCTAAGTAAAAGAAATAATAGAACTTACAGCTGAAACTAATTCTAAAAATTGTGTCTTTCACAATAAAAAATAATTTAAAAAAGAAATAGAACTTACTCAGAATTGTTGATAGATGTTATAAAAACAAGTCACATATGCAGACCCTACTAAGTTATGATTAATTCCTTCAGGTTAGGGAAAGCAGTTCCGGCAGGGCCTCTTTTTAGCAGCCATGCTTTTTGATGGTGTAATATACCTGGAGGGCAAACCCTGAATTTATTCCAAATGTACTATAACTCATGCTGTTTATTATTCAGTTGGCTTTCCTGCTAGTTATCTAGTTCTTGCAATTACTTTTGGTAAAAATAGACTTTAGAGTTTTAAATCTTAAATGCCGAAGAAGTAAGACTCAACAACCAGAATAGCTCCTAGAGACCCAGTGTGGGTAAATTTCTACCACTGGATCTCATGGCTAGAGTGACTCTGATGAGGGTGAGCTCCATTTCACTTGTGCTTTTTCTTTCTGGTTCAAATAAAACCAAATACTTAAAAAATATATCCAATTTGGAACCCCAGGTGCGATTTTCCAATAGCATGCATGCTTTGATAGCTTACTCTTTTCTATTCTCTAAGCACTCTACTTATTTTTATTCTTAAATTGCTTACTTACAAAATAAAGTTATGAAGTCAGGAAATACTGGTGTAAAACCATATTTAACAAAACATACAACCCTACTTTGAGACACACCGATTGGGGAAAATATCGAAATAGTATTAAAATGATGTAGTCATTCCATTGAAAAGAAAACTCAGGTATGATGTACTTCAGTAGACCAGTAATTTACCAGGGTATTGAGTAGCATCAGGTAAAGTGGCATCAACTGTTGTTGTGCCTGTTTTAAGCAATAGTACCCTGTATTAAAAGGAGCGCTGGCAACAGGCCAACAATTAAATATTAAATCCCTACCCTAAACTCTATGGCTACTTAAGCATTACTCATAACTGCTTTTTTTAAGGAAACGCACATTAGTGCTGTGTTTGAAAACAAACTACCTGTGTATACTATAGCACAACATGCCAGAAGCTATAAATTAGCCTACAGTGTCTGCCATAGGACTTTGAGATGCCTCGTTAGCATAGCCCATGCTTCTCCATATGTAAACTAATGGATGCAGTGGAGAACGGCAATTACCAAGCCCAATAGCGGCGTCACACAGGCTATGCCATTTTGCCTTGTTTCATGAGCTGGAAATGCCCAAGAAAGGAATTTGATATGGAAAAGCCTAACATTAAAACAACCAACTAAAATCCCAGTGGAGTCTGATGTGATAAGTGTATTGCATTTACTCCCAAATACATCTCTACTCTCAGCGGCAGTATTTCCCATCTCTTTTAACAGATTCAATACTTTTGCAGCCAGACAGAGTAAAATGAATATTACATACAAAATTGAAATTAAAATAAAGTTTGGGGCAGCTTTGTGAAGAAGACAAGTTATATCCTTAGCTAGAATGCATTATGTCTAAAGTTGAAGAAGTATAAACCTCATTAAATTTGTTATAGGGAAATGAACTATTGCAAAATACCAAATGCACAACGACTCTGACCGTAAATGTTTAGATATATGCTTTCCCAAAATAATATAGATTATATATAACTAAAATATAATTAGTTACTATACAACATTAAAGGAAGGCTTAAAAAGACAGCAAGAGCTGAAAATAAAGTGGATAAATGTTTGAGATTTACTTAGAAGCACTGTCAATGTTTCAGTCATTGAGTTAACACGTAATTTCACATAACAGGCTAGGAAAACGGTAAAGGAGTCACTGAATGTGACAGTAAGAAAAAAGGACGAATCAGATACATGGACATATACCTCCTCATGAGCATAGGTTAAATGGCTACACAGGCATTGAGAATGGCCATTACAAAGTCTTGTCAATCAGCAGTAGCAGCTAATCTATCAACAAAGCAGATTTAACAAAAAAGAGAATTTGGCCGGGTGCATTTTTAACACCCATAAGGTCTCCCAAAGCTGAAGTAAAAATGAAGGGGCCTTTGGCACCCATGGCAGAGAAATTCCTTTCAGAAGATGGCAACCATCTTTTTACTGCAGCTGTATGTGAAAGAAAGCTTCACATGTTATCATGTAGAAGCTCCCCAGTGAATAAATCAGTAGTGTATTTAGAATGCAGCCCAGAAAAATAGACCCTCAGGTTTACAACGTAACACATAAAGTCTCTTGCTTTGAAATTGTATATAGAAGATTTACCTTACATCAATGACTAGTGATTGCAAGAAAGCATTAGGAAGAAAGGAGACTACACTGAAAAAGAGCTTGTCAGGTACTGGCCCATCAGTATTACAAAAGAACTCTGTGAAGTCATCACCACAATTCATCCACAAAACAGGATGCATTAGCACTCCCGGCTCCTTCCCCAGCAAACTAACACAAAGGAAAAGAAAACATGCGTATGCTACGGCACTACAAACATTTCTCTATTGGCTCTCATTTTCTACAGGGAGGAATGGACTTCAGTTAGTCATTATGCATTACGGTTGGTAAGTTAGATGGTACTGCCTCTTCGAAGATTCTTTTAACCTGTGGAAAGCAGAAAGAAAACCTGTACACGTTGATTTTATACATTACTGCATCGACACAGCGTTCTGAAGCATGAGGAACAATGCGCTTTGATTCACCTGCCTTGTATTAATAAACTTTCTGGGTACGTTGATACCCTGTTAGTTGCAGGACTTAGGCTGGCTGAGAAACTTGACACTGATTCTTTCTCAAACCCCAGAGCTACCCGACAACCCCAGATGAGTCCTGGTCCATGATGCATTCCCTCAGCAGTCGGTTTTATGGTGAGTCCAGCTCTCCTCTTAGTAGGTCGCAAGTCTCCTGGAGAGTTCCGGCCCCAACACCCCACATCCCGCCCACCCAACCCTGCCCTATACTCCATACCCATTTGCACGCTGTGGACCTGGAGTCCCCTGTTTTGGGGAGAGTCATACAAATGGTGTCATCACGGCCGAGGAATGGCGCAGTCCCTGGATAGCAGCATAGGGCCCCTGCTGGAAGTAGTGATGGTACCGGGGCATGTGGAAGGAGGGGAACGTCGGGCCACTCCCCTGCATGGAGCTGGCAATGGCTGAGGGGGTCAGAGGCATCCCAAGCCGGCTGTATGGCGGCAGAGAACCCTGGATGGGGTGAGGAATGGGGGTCGCTATGGATGCTGTGCTGGTACCAAGGGCAGTCAGGGACTGTGGGTGCTGAAAGCCGGGAAAACTGGATGAAGATGATACCCAGGAGCTGAGAGACAAATTATCGGACGTTGTAAAGGCTGATCCTGAAAGGAGAAACAACTCATCAGACTGGAAGCTACTTCAATGTGCTAACCGAGAATTACGTTATCTGTAAGGATTGATTTACTTCAAGAAATATGTAATAGATCTGCAATTCAAAAAGACAAACATGTCAACCATGAAGGAAGTCTACCTTTCCAGGTGAGAAGCTCTCATTTACACCATAGATGAAAGAGAGAATTTACTAAATAGGAAAAGATGGGCCTGCTTACGCCCGGCAATGGCCAAAACACTAGGCCCCCGTGTGAAGGCTGTTAACTGATGCGCTTACAGGAGCTCCAAGGAGCATATATCTGTGCGAACCTCTGCAGCACCCCACAAGGAAGGCTGGACATGAGCCGCCACAAAGCTGTGTGGTTTCCAAAGCCATTGAGAGAATCCATAAGACTGGTGTTTTTTTTCTGCTTCCATAATTCTTTATTAAATATTTGACAGGTTACAAAAGAACGTTTTCTTATATCGTAGCATCCAGATGTTTAAACAAGAGTTGACACTGAATATTCCAATTGTAGAATTACTGGTAGCTCACTGGCATCTGGCTATAAGAGATGCCCTATGTTTTGACTGACATGCTATTCCATATTATGGACATAAATCTATGGCAGAGGGCTCTCTCCATAGGAACATCCCTGTGCCCAGGCGGCCTCTGGTGTCTCTGTTCTCTGGACTCCCAGGGGCAGAAGGCTCCTCCTTGAGCTTGTGTGACAGAGGGACTTCCAGCACTCCCCTATTGTCACCACTGGAGCCACTGCCTCTACATAATGCCCTTCACTTTTCAAAAGTGTTTTCAGTTTTAGTCATTGTCCTAATAAGAGATTCCTGACCTAAGTGGAACAGGTATATTCCCTGATTTTTTTATTACAAAATTGAGGTTCAGAAAGGTTAAGGGACTGCCCCCAAAGTCCTACAGCTCTTCGATTAGTAGATCATGGACCAGTAACTCCTGAGCCCTGAATCAGAGGCTCAGGTTCTTTCACCAAAAAACAAAACCACAGGAACCCTTCCGGCTGCACAAATCACTTAAGACTCCAAGGCAAAATTATGAACCGTGTGAAATCGGCCTGAGGGGCTGTCCCTTCTTGAAGAGGCTCTGGAAATACTTTGGGGCAGATGCCTCGCCTGAGGTCTAGACGTCTCACCAACTACCTGCCTGCGTCAATCCCCTTTGTGTGCTGGCGCCCCCAGCAGCCACACCCCGGGAGCTGTCTTACCTCGATTTTGGGTCGTTTGCACCTCGTCCCCCAGCACGTCCTCTTCTCCTCCATAGGTTCGGATGGGTGAGCGGGCGTAGGAATGCTTTTGAATCAGGCTCTCCACGCTTTCCCTAGGTCAGAGAGCAGTACACCCTGAGTAGTCTCGGGGATGGAGAGGGGTCTTAAAGGTAATTTACTAGTCCGTAAAAACATTTTCTCGGCCCAAAGCCCACACCACTTCAGGGAAAGATGACCTTCCAAACAGGAACATTTATTCCATCGCAGACTTCACAGAAACATGACCTCAGGAGTACAAATACAAGCAAACATAACTGGATAGGGGAGGAACAATCCCCTGAAATCCTACAAAATGAGGAACAAAGAGGTGGACAAGGAGCCATGAAACCTGACCATGGGAATGCAGAGTTTAATTAAGTGAAAGGCGAGTGAGTGAATTTAGTAGGAGGAACTGCAGAGATTCTTCTCACAACTTCATCAGCTAATGAATACAAAACAAATACTCAACTGACATGAAATACGCTGACTCAAGATCTGACACAATGTGGGCAAAAAGTTCAAACTATCATTAGTCACAAAAAAAGACTCAGTGTTCAACTAGCAAAACCAGTAAATCCATAGAGTTTATGACAATATGGGTAGTTTGGATAATGGACACGGACATCCTTGTTGCTTTAAGACTGAAAATTACAGAAAAGCTGTAAAGGACACATAGATAGCCATTCATGAATTGAGGTCCCCAAATAAATTAGTCCATTGTCTTTGAAGATGGTCTTCCTCTTGCAACGTAGTCTATAAACTGAAGAGTACGTTAACTTAAAAAAAGAAAAAGAGCCAGCATGAGTTCAGCCAAATAATTTCTTTGCCAAAAGTGCAAATTGGTAACAGGATAGCTTACACAATATACATCTCTGGAATAGCTGTGGCCTAGAGACCAATGTCAAATGAACCAAGCACAAAGGACAAAGAAAGGAGCAAAAGAAAAATGTATTGAATGAAGAAGGACAAAGCAAACACCAGATTTCATATTGAGGGGACAAGGAAAGCAAATAAAATGTCATACCTTTCCAAAATGTAACACTTGTCAACATTTCACATAGATATACAGACTTTACCTGTGAAAAATACTAATTCATAGTGAACTTGCTATTCTAGAAAGCTTGTATACTCAACACACATGAAAGCATTTTGTCATATTAGATAGAGAGCGAATGAGGACTTATGGGTATGCCTAAAAGAAAAATTAATTCTAGCAACTATTCAAGTTCACTGTTTTGCTTATAGATATCCAATTATTCCAGCTCTATTGGTTGAGAAGACTACCCCTTCTCCACTGAATTATCATTGCTTCATTGTCAAGATCAATTGTCCATATATGGGTGGGCCTAACAGCTAGACTCTATATTCTGTTCTATTGATATACATGTGGATCTTGACACCAAAATTACACTGTTCTGATTACTGTAGCTGCAGTAAAAGTTTTAAAATTAGGTAGTATTAGTATTCCATTTTATTTTTATTTTTCAAAGTTGTTTTGGCTATTCTAGCTCCTTTGCATTTCCATTGGAAATTTGGAATTAATTTGTGAATTTCTACCAAAAAAAGGCCTATAGAATTTTGATCAGAATTGTGTCAAATCTATAGATCAATTTGTGGTGAATTGACATCTTAATAAAATTAAGTCTTTCAATCCATGAACCCGTATATCCTTCCACTTATGGAAGTCTTCTTTAATTTCTCTCAGCAATGTTTTTGTAGTTTTAAGTTGTATAGGTCTTACGTATCTTTTGCTAGATTTATCCCTAAATATTTCATGTTATAGTAAATATTGCTTTTTAATTTTAATTTGATTGTTCTTGTTAGTACACAGAAATACATTTATTTTTGTACATTAATCATGTATCCTGTGAATTGCTAAAAATACTTATTTTTGTTGGTAGCTTTTTGTTGTAGATTTGCATTTCCTACATAGATAATCAAGATGCCTGTGAACAGAGATGGTTTTTACATCTTTCTTTTCAATCATGATGACTTTTGTTTATTTTTCCTGCCTTATTGCAATAGCTAGAACTATTTGTTTGGTGTCAAGTTAGCAATGGTAAGAGTGGGCATCCCTGATTTGTTCTTTATCTCAGAGAAAGCATTCAGACTCTCACCATTAGATAGATTATCTCTAGCATTTTTTGTAGATGTCCTTTTTCAGACTGAAGAGGTTCTCTTGTATTCCTAGTTTTCTGAGCATTTTTAAAGTTGAATTTTGTTAAATGCTTTGCTGTGTCTACTGAGATGATCACATTGTTTTCCTTTTTTTAGTTTGTTAATATAGTCAATTATATTGATTAAATTTCAAATGTTAAACCAACCTTGCATTCCTGAGCTAACCCCTAGCCATGATATATTATCCTTTTTTGGATTCTATTTCTTAAAAATTTTTGTTTAGAATTTTTCCACCTATATTTATGAGGGACACTGGTGTATAGTTCTCTTTTCTATAGTAATGTCTTTTCTAATAATGCTGATCTCATAGAATTAGTTGGGAAATAGCCCCTTCTCTTTAATTTTCTAGAAGATTTTGAGTAAAATTGTTATTATTTCTTCCTTAAATGTTTGGTACAATTCACAAGTGAAACTACCTGGGCCTGGGGTTTTCTTTGTGGAAAGGCTTTTAACTACAAATTAAAAGCTATCAGATTATCTTTCTTCTTGAATGAACTTTGGTAGTTTACGTTTGTTAAGAATTTGTCCATTTTAACTAAATTATTGAAATTATAAACATAAGTGTTCATAATATTGCTTTATTATCCTTCCTTTCAGTCTTTGTAGAAGTAAAATGATATTATTCACTGTAGTGATATTAATTCTCTCATTCCTGATAATGGTAATTTGTATTTCTTTTCCTTTTTTCCTGATCAGCTTAGCTAGAGAACTGTCATTTTTATTAATCTTTTCTGCTTTTCGTCCCACTGATTTTTCTATTGTTTTCTTGTTCTGTACTCAATTGGTTTCTACTCTGATATTTATTATTTCTTTTCTCCTACTTACTTTGGATTTCATTTGCTCTTCTTTTCCTAGTTTCTTGAGATGGAAGCTGAGGTCATTGACTTGAGATCTTCCTTCATTTCTAAAGTAGGGATATAGCACTATAAATTTTCGCTAGGTAATGTTTTAGCAGCATCCTACAAGTTTTTATATGTTGTATTTTCAGTTAAAATATTTTCTAATTTGCTTTTTGATGTCTCCTTGTTCCATGGGTTATTTAGACACATGTTATTTAGTTTCCAAATATTTGGGAATTTTCCAGATATGTTCCTGTCTTTGATATTTAACATAATTCCACAGTGAACAGAGAACATACTTTGTATGACTTGAATGTCTTTAAATTTATTGGGACTGGTTTGGGGCACAGAGTATGGTCTAGCTTAATAAGTGTTCTGTGTGCACTTGAAAGAAAGTATATTCTTCTAATGTTGGATGGAGTGTTTTATAAATGTCTATTAGTTGAGCTGGTTGACAGTGTTGTTCAAATCTTCTATACATTTACTTATTTTCTGTCTACCTGCTCTATCACTTAATGGAGAGATACTGAAATCTCTAACTATAATTATCTATTTGTCATTTCTCTTTGCAGTTCTGCCAGTCTTGCTTTGTGTACTTTGGAGCTCTATTATTAGGTACTTAAACATGTATGATTATATGTTCTCCTGATGAATTAAATTCTTTATTGTATGAAATGATCTACTTTATCCTTGATAACATTCTTTGCTCTGAAATCTGTGGGATTACTATAGCAACTCCAGTCTTCTTTTGATTAGTGTTAACATGGAATACTTTTTTCATTGCTTTATGTCCAACTTGCGTCTTTATGTACAAAGTGCCCTTCTTGTAGGTTTTCTGTAGGCAGCATAATTTGGGTTTTGCTTTTTAATCCAAACTGGCAATCTTTGCCTTCTAATTGAGGATTTAGTGCTTTTATATTTAATGTGACTTGTCATGATTAGGTTGAAGTCAATTATCTTGCTCACTTGTTCTTTACCCTTTTCCTCCTTTTTGCTTTCTTTTGCATTAATTATTTTTTATGATTCCACTTCATATCCTTTGTTGGTTTACTAGCTATAACTTTCTTTTGTTATTTTAGTGGTTGCCTTAGCATTTATAGTAAATATCATTAACTTATCGTAATCTAATTTCAAATGATATTATATCACTTCAAGTATAGTGTAAGACTCTCATAATAATATACTTTCATTTACCCCTTCCAACCTTTGTACCATTCTTATCAAACATTTTACATAAACCTCACACTACATTATTTTGATAAAACAGTTAATTCTCTTTTTAAAAGATTTAAATAATATGAAAAAAACTGATCTACTTATCCAAGTCGGTACTATTATCACTGCTCTCCATTCCTGTATGCAGATCTAGATTGACATCTGATACCATTTTTCCTTCTACCAGAAGGACTTCCTTTAACCTAACTGTAGTGAAGTTTGCTGGTGGTGAATTCTTTTAGCTTTTGTACATCTGAAAAAGTTTTTATTTTGTTTGCTTTTTGTTACTTAAAGATATTTTTGGTGGATATAGACTTTTAGGGTGACAGACTTTTATTCTTTCAGTACTTAAAAAAATGTTGCTCCGTTGTCTCCATGTTTACTTTGTTTCTGACAAGAAATCTGTCATCCTTATCTGTGTTCCTCTTATGGAAGATGTCTTCAATACCCTGGCTTCTTTCAATATTTTTTCTTCCTCACTGGTTTTGAGCAATTTGATGATCATGCGTCTTGGTGTTATTACTTCATGCTTCTTGAACTTGAGGTTGTTGGGCCTCTAAGCATTGTGTGTTTTTAGTTGTCATTAAATTTGGAAACATTTTGGATATCATTTCTTCAAATATAATTCTTCCCCCATCCACCTCTTATGGGTTCCAATTACACATATATTAGACTGCTTAAAGTTTTCCGAGAACTACTCACTGATACTCTGCATTAAAATATATACCTTTACTCTCTGTATTTTATTTTGGATAGTTTCTATTGTTATATCTTCAAGTTCACTAATCGTATCATCAGCAATATCTAATCTGATATTAATCCCATCCAGTGTATCTTTCATT